CATCTCTCTACCATTTTGGATGTCACTTGTCCCAAGAGCAGAGGTCACAGTGAGTATTCCACTTCCTTTTGCAGAAATGTTCCTATTATATAAATGTTACTACAAGAAAACAATGCTCATTCAAGGTTTAGCAAGTTCCATTAGAAAGAAAACCCTCAAAAGGAGGCATGGACCAGGTCTGTAGCCTGTCGCTGCCAGAAGGGGAAGTCTCTTCACACAACAGCCCTGTAGAAACTACAGTGTCTGCTAGAAAACACGTCTTAGTCAGTGAAAGCATAACAAAAATATCAGATGCAGCAGAGGGAAAAATGTTTCCTCTTAAAAATCTGCAAATGCTGTCATATATACAGGAAGCCCCAAGACAGCCAGAGCCTTAAACCAGGCCTTGCATCTACCTGCCAGTGATTTGAGACACTTGCCTCTGCATGCCTAGAAAGATGAAGGCTAACACACAGCTCACCAACCGAGACCCAAGCTTTGCTAGGTGACTGACATAGTTGCCTGGACATCAGAAACGTATGCTTGAACTCCACCAAACTGAAGCCAAAATCCTTCAGCACTGCGATCCACCCCACAAGAGGCCATTGACTAGGAGAATGCTTTTCAAAAATGATCCACCGAAAAGTAACCTCGTCTTTTCTCACTGGCCCTGAGACAGAATCCACCTCGAATGTGTTCTGTGAGGGGCCAAGCATGTACTTTGTTTGTAAGACATCCTTAGTAGGCATTTACCAGACAAAGACAATAATATGCCGATAAATATTTAGGGGATTTGTGTGGTCTTTAGTTAAAGTCTGATTTTGGGAGGTGGTGAGGCAGGGATAGGCTAAGAGGAGGCTATAAGTCCAAGAGACTCTATTAAACTCTAATTAATGTTTATTAAAGGGCCGGTTTTGAAACACACACTATAGGAGAGCCTACTCCATTACAAGCACCCTTCGGGAACCACTCCTTCGCCCACACCCCTTCATCAAATATTTACTGAGCACCTGTGTGCGTGCGTGGCACTTGTTCAGCTGCTGGTGACACAGAGCAAAACACACAGATGAGCTCTTCCCTCTCCCATCCATGCAAAGTGGCTAGCGTCATGGGCTTCGCAGACAAGTTTTAGAACCCCAGTTCTATGGTATATGACCACCCATGAAAAGCCATTAACAAAGTATCTACCAGTAACAAAGTATCTGCCTTAACAATGTATCCACCATTAACAAAGTATCTGCCATTAACAAAGTATCCGCCACTAACAAAGTATCTGCCATTAACAAAGTATTCGTCACTAACAAAGTATCCACCATTAACAAAGTATCCACCTTAACAATGTATCCACCATTAACAAAGTATTCGCCACTAACAAAGTATCCACCATTAATAATGTATCCACCAGTAACAAAGTATCCACCATTAACAATGTATCCACCAGTAACAATGTATCCACCAGTAACAAAGTATCCACCAGTAACAAAGTATCCACCATTAACAAAGTATCCACCCTAACAAAGTATCCACCATTAACAAAGTATCCACCTTAACAATGTATCCACCAGTAACAAAGTATCCACCAGTAACAAAGTATCTGTCATTAACAAAGTATCCACCAGTAACAAAGTATCCACCATTAACAAAGTATCCACCATTAACAATGTATCCACCATTAACAAAGTATCCGCCATTAACAAAGTATCCACCAGTAACAAAGTATCCGTCATTAACAAAGTATCCACCAGTAACAAAGTATCCACCACATGCAAAGAAGGATGACACTAAGGATTTGAGGATCTCTGATTGTCTATCTTCTTCTGGTTTCTTTCAGAACCTTGGTTTTAACTGGCAATGATCTTGTCTGCTATGATTGCTATCTAACCCCTGCACATCTGCCAGATGTTAACCATTAGCCAGTTGGCAGAATTCCCCTGACAGAGGAAGTTCCACATAACAACTCGAGATGGAGGGCTCTAGGGCTAATGAGATGGGGGAAGAAGCAAAGGAGGGTCTTTGCACCCAAGCAGGAGCCCAGCCCTAGAGTCCTGGGTGGAAAGTCCCAGGAGGAGCGTGTGAACACAGAACTGGAGGTGTAGAGCTGGTGTGGGTGAGGAGCCTGTCCTCACTGTCCTTCTACTTCAGGTGACGAATGCCGCCCTGCTGAGCCTCCCAAGGAATCTGGGTTCTCTCAGCTGACAAGAGCACCACACAATTTGAGTGAAGCTATACCATCTTATTTATTACCTGCCGATCAGCCAGTTGAGCTGGGAGGTTCCATAAGTGACCTTCAGTCCAGTTATTTGCTTCACTCTCAGGGGCAAAGAGCACATGAGTCAAAAGAACCCTGATTCTCTCCTGGCGGGGAGGTAATGATGAGTTCCTAATTGCCCTTTCTGTAGGGCCAGCCCCACTCCACCTTCAAGACTTTGACCTTGGAAGGGATAACACTGGGGACCTGCAGCCTGGAATTCCATTCTGTGTGCACATGCGTGTACGAAATTGAGTGTGTGTGTGCCTGTGCAATCATATGTATGCACATGTGTCAAGGTCAGAGGTCAACATCAGGTGTCCCCATACTTTTTGAGATTTCCACTTGAAATTTGTTCCCTCTGAAGTAACTGCCTCCGTTCCTCTGTGCCCACATGTGGGCCCCACTTACCCCAGGACCGTCAGAGCCTCCATTCCCCTTACTCATCTGAGAGCAGACTCAAACTAAATGCCGAGCCATGATGTGTTATGGCATAGTTCTCCACTAAAGTTAAACCAACTTTGAATAAGAAAAATGTCAGTGGGCTCCTGTTCCAGGCACCGTCCTACACGCTTTATAAGTATAATCTCACTCATCCTCCTGACCATCACACGAGGGATGTTACAGCAGAGATGCTGAGCCCAGCATCACGAGCTAAGATATGGCAGAGCTGTGATTAAAGTCTGGGCAATCATACATATACCAGCACCCAACTCTGACGCACCCCTATAATTGGAGAACTACAGGGCTGAATTTAGCCCCGGCCTACAACTCAGCAACAGAACTCCAGCACAGGCACTGGGTGGGAGTCATGAATAACGGGCGTCGTTTGGTTACAGCGGGTTGATCTTTGTGAGTCCTTCAGTATAAACAGAGGGACAGCACAGGAAGCTGTGTGTCTCAGATATTTCCTGGACAATGAAACGGGGCTGATTACAACCAAAAGTCAAAGGACAAAATTCCACAGTGTCTCATTGAGAGACTATTTCCCCATTCCTGATATGAATGCTAACATAATACCATTTTTAAAAAATGGTATCTTAGAATTAGGGCTCCACTGCTGTGCTGCAGCCATGGTAAGTCGTTTAAAGCAAGCATTTGACTGGAGGCTTGCTCAGTATTCAGAAGGTTAGCCCACCATCATCACGGCAGGAAGTCGTTTAAAGCAAGCATTTGACTGGAGGCTTGCTCAGTGTTCAGAAGGTTAGCCCACCATCATCACGGCAGGAAGTCGTTTAAAGCAAGCATTTGACTGGAGGCTTGCTCAGTATTCAGAAGGTTAGCCCACCATCATCACGGCAGGAAGTCGTTTAAAGCAAGCATTTGACTGGAGGCTTGCTCAGTATTCAGAAGGTTAGCCCACCATCATCACGGCAGGAAGTCGTTTAAAGCAAGCATTTGACTGGAGGCTTGCTCAGTATTCAGAAGGTTAGCCCACCATCATCACGGCAGGAAGTCGTTTAAAGCAAGCATTTGACTGGAGGCTTGCTCAGTATTCAGAAGGTTAGCCCACCATCATCACGGCAGCAAGTCGTTTAAAGCAAGCATTTGACTGGAGGCTTGCTCAGTATTCAGAAGGTTAGCCCACCATCATCACGGCAGGAAGTCGTTTAAAGCAAGCATTTGACTGGAGGCTTGCTCAGTATTTCAGAAGGTTAGCCCACCATCATCACGGCAGGAAGCAGACAGGCATGTCACTAAGGCAGCAGCTGAGAGTTTTACATCCTGATCCACAGCTGCTGTGGACTTTTGAAACCCCAAACCCACCCCAGTGACACATCACCACCAAAAAGGCCACACCTCCACAATAAAGGCCACACTTTCAAATACACGAGCCTATTGGGACCATTTCCATCCAAATCAGTATGAAAGGACACATTCCTCATATCTACCAGAAACCGAATATGAGGAAGTGGGATCGAAGCTGAAATCCTGGGAAATATCGTTTCATATTTGCTAACTTGACCTTCTCTTAGCCTCTCTTCTCACATGGTAATGTTCTGAGCGAGTCATCTCTGAGTCATGCTAAGGAACGTTCAGAGGCATGAAAGCCGTGAACTGCCACCAGTTCGTGATTAAACGGGAAGTCATTCCTGCGTCTAGGTTCCCCTTGATCTCTTGCCAGTGGTTCAGTGTGCATCAGACATCCAACAACCGAGGAAAATAATTCAGATCCAAATGACGATGCCTTGCAGGTAGATCAAAGCCACGCGTGGCTCAAACACTCCTCACAGCCCTCTAAGTAAACACAGAATGTGCTTTAAATGGCCTCAAGGAAGGCTTTCGTGATGAAAGCTGAAACACCAGAGAATACTAGAAACCAGAATGCCTCTCATTATAAATGTCCCTGGATGACCCTGAAGAATAAAACCCAGGACGCACAGGTAGACTAAAGACACACCAACTACCACAACATAACTTCTGCTCCCCAAGCTCATCTCCTGTTTCTCCTAACACATAGCTGGGCCAGTTTATCTATGCCCATTGTGGTTATCTTGAGCCACTTGCGGGTAGAGATGAGGGACACCACTCTCAGGTCTGGCACACAGTCTCTATCCCCTCATCTGTCAATCACATAGAGGACCCTACAGAAGACTCCAAGGCCCCAAGATGATGGAATCACCAACTGACCGACCACACGGAGTAGAAAAGCGAACGTCATAGCAGAGTGTGTTTTGTTACTGCAGCTAGTATTTACCGTGCTGACAAATCCGACTTGCTTGGTCGTGAACACACTGCAGGGAAGCCGTTAACCTGTGGCTTCTGCACCTACCTATGTCGTTGCCGATGCAATCGATGATCAAGCAGATACCCAGGGGCTTGCTCTGCATCCTGTAACTCTCTTCGTGTATATGCTGCAAAGAAAGGCAGGCGTAATTAGAGATGCCGGCTACCTCTCTGCCCTCTCTGCTCCCTTAGTTCTCACTCCTGTGCCGTCTCCTCTTCTGGATTGTTTTAAGCATCTCTTTGGCAAGTGAGTCACTCAACAGACATGGCCTAAAATCATCTCAGCTGGCATTTCCTACTAATGTCAGGTTTTTTCTCTGTTCCTGAGAATGTGTTTCAGGCAAACAGCTGCTTTGGCTCTTGCTTAATTTTAATTAATAAGCCTCGTCATCTCTTTACATGGGTCTTAGCTTTGCGGAATAAAGAGAATTTGGAAGAGAGAGGAAAGATGGGCCGTGCGTCTTCACGGAAGTCTAAAGCAGCAACGAGAGACATCTTTCTAAGCTGGTACAAATGACAGCCTTCCACCGCCTCCTCTTAAGAGGAGGTTGTCAGTCCGGACAAAAGCCAGGGTGTAACACAGTTCAACGGGATGTCACTGCCCATGGTATGTTCAGTAGTGAACCAGCTGAGACATGAGCTGCCACTTGGAACCTCCCTGCATTCCAAAGTTCATTCATGAACGTCTTTTTTAAAAAAAAAAAAAAAAAATCTCTGCTATATTCAAGGCTCCTGGCCAATGAATTTCGCACAGGCACCCAGTTGTCATGAAGAATTTTTCGGATCATTTTTGGCTGTTTTTTGGGTTTGTTTTTTTAGGATGTCAGTGTTCTAGCAGATACTTGTGTATACAAAACCGAATCAGAGAATTGGTTCTTTACCCGAGGCAAAAAAGCTCCCGATTCCTGAATGGATGTCTTCACCGGTTTTCCTGGGGAAGAGAGAGAGAGAGAGAGAGAGAGAGAGAGAGAATTGTTTACAAGACAGAACTTAGTTACACCCATTCTGGCTGAGTTCTTTCTATCATAACTGAGTTTTTTGTTTTGTCTGCTCATTTCTTAACTACTTATTCTTTTTCCGGCTAGACTCAGCCCAAAGTTCCAACCTCACATGGAAAAGCCTGGTTCAAAAGAAAACTCAAGAGCACCTGCTATTCCAGGATTCCGTAGAAAAACCACGCCACGTAAGTGTAAGAGGGCTCTCCCTTGACCTCTTCCAGATGGCCCGCAGGAGGCTGGTGGGGTTTTAACCTGATAAGGAGAATTCAAAACTCTGACTTTGCTATACCAATAGCTTTCCTATATGGGCCCAAACCCTGGACTGCATCTAAAGGGAACATCTTGGAGCACGCGGGAAGGGAATGCTTCTGTGTCTGTGCTATGTACAGAACAGATGGCCAATGTTTTCATAGTTCCGTGAGGCTGGGGGATGATAAAATAAAATGTCAGCAGCCAGACAGTGCACAGCACGCCTGGAAAGTGGAGAGCCCACGGCAAACTCCGCTCCACAACAATGACTCAATTAGCCTGCACAAGCGGGAGGGGGGGGCTCTGGGTGCCGGAGCCACGAAAGGGCTGGCTCACACCTTCGTCCTGGCTGCTCGTTCAATCTCTAGGCCGAGGCTGCGGCAAAGTGAGAAATGACATCTAAAGATAAAACAAAGGAGGAAAAAAAAAACCCAACCCTGCCAGAATCTGTGAGGTTTGGGGGAAGCAAATGGCGTTTGTTTGGCTTCAGAGGTGGGTTCTTGATACGTAGCCCAGGCTGAGCCCAACCTCAAATTTGTGTACCTTCTGCTTCAGCTCATGAGGGCTAGGATTGTCGTCCTGTGCTACCATCCTCAGCTTTGAACCTGAGTGTGTGTGTGTGTGTGTGTGTGTGCGTGTGTGCATGTGTGTATGTATGTGTGTATGCATGTATGCGTGTGATGCATGTGTGTATGCATGCGTGTCCATGTGTGTGTTGTGTGTGTGTATGCATGTGTATGTGTCTGCACGTGTGTATGTGTGTGTGTATGTGTGCGCATGTGTGTATGTGTGTGTATGTGTGCGTATTAATTAGGTTCCAGATGGAACTCTGGTTACTGCCCAGCCTGCTGCACCCCTGGCATGTAGTCAAACTATTCTTCCTTAGAAGAGACGTGTGTCGCACGCCTATCTCAGTGAAAGACATGCCTATCTTGGTTAAAGATTTAGAACGCGCCCGACAATAAGGGCCAGTCACCGTCACCATCAAGATCTTTCCGTAGGAACCATTTGGAAGTCCAAACTGACCTGAACACACGGCTTGATTATCTTAAACTTCTTAGTTTAAGGCCAACTTAACCAGATGCTTTCCCTTTTATTAGTGAGCTAGGACCAGTCCAAAGCGGAAAGGTGGCTTTTGTATGGTGGGGACCGCGAATACTTACCCGGACCAACCTACGCTAGGGTCACAGCGGAAAGAACATGTTTGCTTTACGTTCCTAGGCTCTCATGCCGGAGCTCCCATTTTCCACTTTTTGCTTTGTTTTGTTTTGTGTTTTGTTTTTCAAGACAGGGTTTCCCTGTAGCTTTGGAGCCTGTCCTGGAACTAGCTCTTGTAGACCAGGCTGGCCTCGAACTCACAGAGACCCGCCTGCCTCTGCCTCCCGTGTGCTGGGATTAAGGCGTGCGCCACCACCGCCCGACCCGTTTTCCACTTTCAACGGCATTCGGAGTGCTAACTCCACCTCAGCAGTGTTTTAAGAAACAGGCTCTCAGTTCAGGAATTAATTCCGTTCTCAACAGTTTTCGCCGGGAGAAGAATGTTAGGGAGGGAGCGGCAGGCGTGAGCGGCACCATCTGGCTGGTCGCGGGTACAATGGGTCTCAGCTTCCAGGAGCACACAGAGCCTGTGCTCTACACAAACTGCTCGGGCAAGGCTCCATCAGGGGACAAGGCCCCCTCAAAACGCTCCGGCTGCCCCACTCGTGTTGAGTTCCTCCACTGTGCACACAGCAGATTCAAAGGCCCTCGGGTAGCCCTGCTGCCCTCCATCGCGGCATAGAGACCTGCTCACGCTGGTTCTAAGCACGGGCTACCTCACCGGTATGGGGCTGAGTCTTGACTCTCACTTTAGAAAGGTCCCCATGCAGAAAAGAAATGCTTAAAAAAAAAATGATGCTATAAGCCAGCTACGGCAGCACGTCCCTGCAATCCCAGCGCTCACAAAGATTGAAAAGGGATGATTGCTGGGAGCTTGAGGCTAGCCTGGGCTACATCACAAATACCAGCCCAGCCAGGGATACATAACAAGGTTCTATCACTAGTCGTCAAATAAACAGAAATTTAAATAATGCCAAGAACTCGAGCTGATGTTTTAAGAATGAAGAGAACATATTGGTTGAAATGAACAATACTTTAATTGCCTTTCTTTACTTTTTATGGAAGACATGGTCCAGATTAACCTTTCTTCCTGCTGCTGGATAATTAGTTTCCCCTGGTTCTCTATCATGGCTGGGTTAACGTTTAGCATGGTCTGGCTATAGCTCCATTTCAGATGTACAAACACCACACGTCTGACAAACACAGCCTAGGCTATGTGCCTGATGGAGGGGGTGTTATCCAGGTTTAGATGAGCTAGGTCAGAGGGGAACTACATGTGTCTGTGAGTTCATCTGAAGAATGTGTTTTACTGCCTTTTGGAAGCTTAATTAAAATATGCGGATAACAGAAATCACCAGCCCCACAATGAAACTCCCCCCCCCTTTTCATTCCTTTCTTCTTCTCTTTCTTAGATGACAGGGTCTCACCACATTTGCTAAGGAAACTGGTCTCGAACGTCTGGGCACAAGAGTTCCTCCTGCTCCAGCCTCTCAAGGGGCTACGTCAATAAGCAGAGACCACCAGACACAACAGCGTGAATTTTTTCTTTTCCGGTACTGGAGATGGAACCCAGGGACTCATTCACACCAGTCAAGTGTTCTACCACTGAGTTATACCTCAGCCCCTTGTACTAAAGCTATGAAGCATTTATAAAGAATAGCTATAAGAGATTGGGGGCCTTACTTTGAACGTGAAGGTGTTCCGCAAATCTTTGTTCCTTACTTCGCCCATTCTGGAGCTTCAAATACAAAAAAGAAGGTCACACTGTTAGTTTTTTTTCGGAAGCTCACTATGTTACACCTCTTTAAATAGCTCAATATTTTTACACGGGGTTGGGAGGAGGAATAAAAATATCACCTTCTCAGCTACCTAAATATGAACTGCAGGGACAGTTAACCCTGTAAGTTCCACACTACACTGTCAGAGATCAGATCAACTCTCCCAGTCAGAACTGAAGGCATTTTGAAGCTGGAACTAAACTTGCACGCTAGACTACTTCATAACGGCTCTAAGCTGTTACAGTACATCATGGGTGCTCGAACAGTCCCAACTCAGCGCACTCTGGGACAGAGATTGACATTCGGTGCCTCCCGTGAACACCAGGGTAAAGTGCAGCCTGGCTAAAAGTGTGAGCGAGTCATTTTACCTCTCTGTCTGCTTCTTCATCTGCAAAGGTGAGGAGAAGAATAGAATAGTACCTGCCATACATAGATGGTAAATTCATCTGCAAAGGTGAGGATAAGAATAGAATAGTACCTGCCATACATAGATGGTAAGGACGGTTTTTTTTTTTAACGTATATGTGTTTTGCATGCATGTATACCTGGTGTCCATGGAGATCAGAATAAGGCATTGGATCCTCCGGGACTGGAGCTACAGACAGTTGTGAGCCACCAGGCAGGTGCTGAGGATGGAGTCTGTGCTCTTGAATGCTAAACTCACTCACAGGCCTTAGATGTGAAGGGTGTTTATGGTGTTTCATTACTCAGAAACCCCTCAGTACAGTCTAGCATGCAGAGAAGCACTTGATAAATGTCTATATCCAAAGCCCCGAGTACATCTGCAGCACTCCTAAATAAGTAAGTACATGATGTCCTATTATGGCTACAAGATAAGTGGTATGTGGGCATGATTCTCGACAGTCACATACTCTGCATGAACCACTTCCTGGGAGATTAAACCGACCTGCTTCTCTCATCTCAGATGACAGGAACTACGCAAGATGACATCACTTCCTACCACCATCTGACCACTGGTATTTCAACAACAGCTGACCTCTTTAGCTCTCCTACCCAAAGAAGGAAGTACATTATCCAGTAAGCTGCTTCTGAGAGTACATCTGTGTGCAAACTGGAGACATGCAAGCTATGGACCCCCCTCCCCGGAATAATCCTGACTTAATCAGAGCCTAAATCTTGTGAGAAAGCTACCAGGTTCATTTGCCACGGTGCCTGCTACTAAACGAGAGATCAAGTCGCGTGCCAGACACAGCAAGCGTAAAGCGAGATGAGGCGCAGAGCATGTTGGGTCCCAAGCAGGCTACACGGACAGGGACGATGCTCACCTGCATTGGCAGGACAGAAACACAGTCGTGAAAACATAGAAGGGTTTTAACTAAGAATGTTAGTGTAAGTTATAACAATAGGTAGTGGGGGAGAGAGAGCTCAGAAAATCCTAAATCCAGCTGTCTGTGACTTAGTCGTCTATCGGAGACTAGAGGGACAAATTAAAAACTGTACCTAAGCAATGAGATGAGTGTGGTTTATAGATAGATCAGGAGATTGTGGGATGAGAAGAGGCCGATCCTGGCCGGCCCTGTAGGAGGTACAAATACACAGTCACTGTGGTTTAGACATACATGTCCTTATCGTTCAGTTAGTGGGTGGGGCAGTGCAATCCTTAGCAGCCAGTCTGTTGCTCAGTGGTACCTCCTAGAGCTAGTGTCCTCCCAGAAACTGTTTATAAACTGGGAGGGATGTTATCATGATAGACACTCATAGAAGTGTTTATAATTCAACCGCAAAACTTAACTTGAGTCTAAGTATCCACCCCAAAGTCCGCATAACTTTAAGGGGGGGGTTGGGTTCATATTATACCAAGGTTTCTTCTCGTGATAGAAGATTAACCAGGGGATAAGCACAAAATGAACTGTGCTCCTCAGAACACAACCACACGTGACCACGAGACACTTACGATCATTAACTAGAAAGGGAAATCTGTTCTGTCACTCATTAAAGAAAAGTTTGCCAATTTTTAAATTATTAAGGCACGCTCAGTAAAAAGGCGAAAGGCTCTAGAGATGGCTCAGAGGTTAAGAGCACTGGCTGCTCTTCCAGAGGTCCTGAGTTCAATTCCCGGCACCCACATGGTGGCTCAGAACTGCCTGCAACTCCGGTTTTAGGGGATTTGCTGCCCTCTTCTGACTCCACTGGGCTCCTGAACACGCACGGGTGTACAAAAACTCACACAGGCACACATGCATACAGTAAACAGAAAATAAAAAGGAAAAATGTGTTTTAAATTAATTTTTTTAAAAAAGAAAATGCACAAAGAGGTGAGAATCAGGATATTTATTTTGCAGCCATGTTTGTCACAACACAAGAACAGAGGCAATCTGCACATCGGAAAGAAAGAACTAAATAAATACATGGTGGTACGTGTAGAAAACGGAAGCTATGAGCCCTCCTGGTAGGATGGGCCTACAATGTCAGCACTTAGGAGGCTGAAGCAAGGAGAGGGTCCTTGCTCTTCAATGCTAGCCTGGGCTAACCAGTGGACTCCAGGCCAGACTGGGTTACATGTGTGATCTCATATGAACCGTGTGGTACCATGTCTAAGAATTCTGTGTTCAGAGGAATGGCAAGACGTGCTACCCCTTGTCTGCTGTATGTCTGTAGACAATCTCTACACGGTCAAGAGACCGGTCAAGAAGAGTCGCCTTAACAGAGGGTAACTGGGACGTGAGTGTACGGAGGAGGGAGAAATCACAATTTTAAGATCTCTTTGGGGGACGCTGCAGCTTTTCTTTCTACAGGTACATCCTATCTATTTTTATTTTAAAAGAGAATCTTCAAAAAAAACAAACAGTGAAAAAATATCCAACTGTATAAATAGATACATTTGCTAATGCACATAAAAATAAAACTAAAAGAAAGCACCCAAAATATTAATATTAGTCATACCCATGTAACAGACACGTGACACGTAAGATACTTTCTTGTTACATATTCATTAAACTCCCCAAATATATTATTAAACACTTTTTTATTTTCTTTTTACTTTTTTTTTTTTTTTTGGATTTTCGAGACAGGGTTTCTCCGTAGCTTTTGGTTCCTGTCCTGGAACTAGCTCTTGTAGACCAGGCTGGCCTCGAACTCACAGACGTCCGCCTGCCTCTGCCTCCCGAGTGCTGGGATTAAAGGCGTGTGCCACCACCACCAGGCCTTTTTACTCTTTTTTTTTTTAAATATTTATTTAATGTACATGAGTGACCCATCTTCATGCACACCAGAAGAGGGAATCAGATCCCGATACAGACGGTTGTGAGCCACCATGTGGTTGCTGGGACTTACACTCAGGACCTCTGGAAGAGCAGCCAGTGCTCTTAACTGCTGAGCCATCTCTGCAGCTTTTTTTTTTTTTTTTTTTTTTTTTGGTTTTTTTGAGACAGCTCCGTGCAGCCCTGGTTATACTGGAATGCACCACACTAGTCTCAAACTCACAAAGATCCGCCTGTCTCTGCCTCCCAAGCTCTGGGATTAAAGGTGCGCACCGCCACCGCCCACCAGCTGAGCACTTTAAAGTTTATAATCATAAGAAGTTGCACACTTTTATGACTCCTCTGAAGCGGGTTCATGCTGTCAGTCCATACACCGGCTCCAGACTCACCCTTGAGTTATATGAAGGCTCCTTGATGCTCAAGTTTGGAAGAGAAGCCTGGAGAGAATTCACGTAATTTGATCCTGCTCCTTGGCCTGTAAAGACAGAGAGAGGCGCTAAGATTCATGAACTGTCAAATGAGTCTTCTACAGTCCCTCAGATCCCAGCCAATCTTTTAAAATACCTTAAACCTGAACCATCTGAATTGGAAGCATCCGCTCAGATGACTTCTGTCCACCAGTAAGAATGACTTGCCGGGCGGTGGTGGCACACGCTTTTAATCCCAGCACTTGGGAGGCAGAGGCAGGAGGATCTCTGGGAATTCGAGGCCAGCCTGGTCTACAAGAGCTAGTTCCAGGACAGGCTCAAAAGCCACAGAGAAACCCTGTCTCGAAAAACCAAAAATAAAATAATAATAATAATGATTGAAAGGATGACAAACTAATTTCAATCCCCAGGCCCCACAAGGTGGGAGGAAAGAAATGACACCCACATAACATGTGGGTGTGTATATGTGTGTGCGCGCACACACACACACGTAGACACACACTAAATGAATAAATAAATAAATGGATAAACTTACTTTTAAATTAAAAAAGAAACTAAGGTCATTCCTAATTCTGTCATTCAGAATGAGGGCAGACTGTCTTTTTAAAAAAAATATTTATTTATTTATTATATATACAATATTCTGTCTGTGTGTACACCTGCAGGCCAGAAAGGGGCACCAGACTCCATTACAGATGGTTGTGAGCCCCCATGTGGTTGCTGGGAATTGAACTCAGGACCGTTGAAAGAGCAGGCAATGCTCTTAACCTCTGAGCCATTTCTCCAGCCTGCAGATTGTCTTATATATAAGCAAGTCTCAGTCATGACCTAACACTGTGACCCTGTGTTAGGTGTAAGGTAGAAGGGTCAACCCCCTTAATTAAAGAAAAAACCAAAGTGACCTTTTCCATAGGTTAAGAGAAACACAGCACACATACAGGACAGCAACCAGACTCAGTGACACCACCCAGAGCTGGATGGTGGTCACCAGGTCCAATGTGGAGCTGGGCAACAGGGCCCTATCTATAATCAAAGCCCTGAAAGTTCACAGTCTCTCTGCCCTTTAAAAACAGAGATACAGACTCCTTTAAAGAACAGAATGGTGCCGGGCGACGGTGGCCCACGCCTTTAATCCCAGCACTCGGGAGGCAGAGGCAGGCGGATCTCTGTGAGTTCGAGACCAGCCTGGTCTACAGAGCTAGTTCCAGGACAGGCTCCAAAGCCACAGAGAAACCCTGTCTCGAAAAACCAAAAAAAAAAAAAAAAAAAGAACAGAATGGTAAGACCTGCTTAGTGGCAATTTTCAGAGGTAGGAGATCTACCAGTGGGGTTGGGATATTGGGATGAGAAGGCTACAAAGGACTATGACCTCTTGGTGTAGGCTAGAGGGGGCTGAGATGCTTGGGTTCCATTTCAGCCAGGCACCCAACAGGTGACATCTCTCCACCAACCGTTCCTCCTGCGCATTGAAGATCACTGAGACACCAAAATTTCTTACCCGACTGCGCGTACTTCTGGATTTTGGTCTTCAGATCTATCCTGTGGATGCTCTTCAGGCTTTTTTCTAGTAAGTTCAGTTGATCTGCAGCAACAAGATTCAGTTTCTCCAGTTCAATCACCAGGTCCAAGAAACTCTAAGAGAATCACCAACAAGAAACACACATCATGAGTGGAGCTAACACGTCCGAAGTGCAAACTCTAGGCCACCTAGTGGTCATAATATCAGGAAAAGGTGGCAAGACGGGACCTTCCGGTAACCCTTGGTGACAGTTCTGCTCAGAATCAATCACCCTCCTGAATTTAACTCAAAGAAATGGGGGCTAGGGCTGTAGCCCAGGTGGCAGAGTGAGCTTGCCTTGCATGTATGACACCCTGGGCTTGATCCTCAGCACCACACACCGTAAGAGCTTCCCAGAGAGTGGGCGGGAGGGGGTAGCTGAGGAAAAGGTTGATATGGGAAATCTTCATAATGCCATTTTAAACTGTCTTCATCCATCCTGGACATTCTAGGCCATCCTGACTCAAGAGATGGTTCCCAGAAAGAGTGGGGCCCTCTACTCATTCACCCTGAAGCAGCTGGGTGATTTCACGATTTCAAAAGCGGGCATGGCTTTGGATTCTATATTTGCTCACGGTTAACATTTGGTTACTTAACCATTAATCATTATTTTACAAAGACAAGAAGCCTAATTAATTACATATAAATGGAAGGCGTTGATTAGGGAAATCCCCCCCAAAAACTCCCAGCTTTCACTTTCTTCATTTGATGTTGGAACAAGATGTCTTCCTGTTTTTCTATAATCAAGGAGCCTGAGGGAATTCTAAAAGGCAGGGAAGCCAGTTGGAACACTTATTATCACCCCCAAAGTTGGAGATTCTTCTTGGCCCATCCTCAGGTTAACCGTGTCAGGAGTTCAAACACCCTTCCCACAACCCCCGACAACTCTAAAACGGTCAGACATCTCTATCCTCGTCACTTCCCACACACACCGCAAACCACCTCCACCCACAGCCACTGAGGGGAGTAAAACAGCCGAGGGCCAGCAAATGAGAGTGGACCAGCAAGCCAAGCCCTCTACGGCAAGCCAGGTCTCTACTCCACACAAGAAGACGGGATGTCCTCGCTTGGAAGAGGGCTGTCAAATCAGAGAACTGACATTGAAGCCAGCCAGGTTGGTGACTTTTACAGAAACCAGGACCAGATCTAAGCATAAAAGAAACTCCCAGGGCCACAGGAGGAAAGAGTCCCAACCTAATTCCCTCTCAGTTAAAAACCCATTCTCTTGCTACCAGGGTCACAGAAAAACTATCAGAGAAAGCTCCTGGGACCATGGCAGCAGGCTGCCCACTTCCCTCTCTCTCTATACCACAACAGGAAGCCTTGATAGAACTATCCCCCAAGAAGCTATAAGAAAATTCAAAAGGAAAACTCATTTTCTGTTTTTTGTTTGGTTTGGTTTTTAGAGATGGCTCTTGGTGTGGAGTCCTGAATTCTTTCTTTCTGAATTCTTTCATTCTTTCTTTCTTTAAGGTTTATTTATTATGTATGTGTGCAGTGTTCTGTCTGCACGACAGAAGAGGGCACCAGACCTCATTACAGATGGCTGTGAGCCACCATGTGGTTGCTGGGAATTGAACTCAGGACCTCCGGAAGAGCAACCAGTACTCTTAACCTCTGAGCCACCTCTCCAGGCCCCAGAGCCCTACTTCTGACAGCTCTTTGGAATGGGCACCAAGAGAACACAACTCACCTTGTCCTTGGCTCCCTTGCCTCGGCCTGTGTAATCTCTCATAAGGAAAATTAACGAGGACACGTCAGATTTATCCAGATTCTCGCCAATCTCCATCATCAGCACCCTGTAAATCCCAAAAGTTTCTTTAGTAAACCCAGACAAAAATCCAAGAGCCCATCCCTCACCAAGGCCAACAACTTGGCTAATTGTTGTCCCACAGAAAATGCCCCCAACTCTATAAAACAAGAAGCCTTGATAGAAATATCCCCCAAGAAACTATAAGAAAATTCAAAAGGAAAACTCATTTTCTGTTTTTTGTTTGGCTTGGTTTTTAGAGATGGCTCTGGCTGTGTAGTCCTGACTATCTTAGCTCTCCCTGGACAGAGACTGGCCTCAGACTGCACCCATCCTCCTGTCTCTGCCTCCCTCCCAGGTGCTGGAATTCCAGGCGTGCACCACGCCAAGCCTTTCCTTTGTTTGCAGTAGGACACAGTACTTCCCTTTCTAACCGGCAGCTCCAAAAACAACTGTGTGAATAGACTTCCCTGAAAAAACCCCTTGGTTCCCAGAAGTCATAGTGAGACCAAAGAGATGAGTAACAGGAAAGACCAAATTCAGAGTGGCCTGGCCCTCTCTGTTGACCACTGGCCTAAGAACCACACTTTGAGTCTCAGGATTCTCTAAAGCAAAGAAACATCTCTGACATCTCTGGCCCACCCTTGAAAGTTAAAAGAAGTCCACCATGGAGCTTCTGACCACAAAGGTCTGATCTGGAAAACCCCTCCCAATGCGTTCACCTCTGCTCTGGCTGGGGTAGCCACCACACTTTGTCAGAACACCTGTGTAGAAGGTGACTTGCCCAGGGAGATTCCCTCATATTCTTTGGGATTCTTCTTGGCCCTGGGTTTAGCTAGGCCCTGGTGAAGGCTGCCGAGCTGAGCAGACGGGTGAATAACTATAACCCCAAGCATCTCACACAGAAAGCCACTTGGTACACTATCCAAAGAGAAACTTGTGGAGCTCTGTCACTGTCTGTGGTGCTGGGGCTGAACCCAGAACCAAACACACCCTAAGCAAGGGCCTACTGCTATTGCTCAACACACAAGCCCCCCCCCCCCCCCACACACCTTTTCAGAAAGGGTTCATTATTAAGTCACTCAGGCTGGTCTTGAACCTTCCTGCTTCCATTTCCTGAGTAGCTGGGATTTCAGGTCTTCGTCACCAGGCACAACTAGCTGGGCTATATTATTCTTTACTTTGTAAAGTTAGTAACTGGCTCAGCCTGGGTGGGCTGTAACTGGTCCGAGGTTTAACACAGCCCTACCAACACCTCGCAGCACTTTACAAAGCCCGCGCTGCCTCTAGCTCTTTTCAGTACTTTTCATGATAATAAAAATAAACATCTTCAAATACATATTACACAATCAACAGAACTAGCAGCCTGGAGGAACAGGAAGCAATTTAAAGGAACAAGGTCTCCTTCTTGCTTCAGAAAACACAACCCTTCCAGAGGCTCCCTCATATGGGGAAGGAAGTCCCCTGAGGCTCTCCGATTTAGGGACATAGATGGTCGTTCTAGTTTAACCAGAAGGGGGTGGAAGGCAGTTCCTTGAAGAAAGGTCCCCCTTGGCCCCCTCTGAGGCAGAGAGGCAAGACTATGGGAAGGGAACCCACCCTGAGGCATTTACTTGGCTGGCTGCCCAGGCAGAGGAAGAGTTAGAAAGGGCCACAGCTCTGGCAGTAGGGAGGTTACTCACTCTTGCTACTTTATTTCTCAGTACCAGAATTTCCCAAAGCACCGCAGCTCCCACGCTACCGGGGACTGGCAAGAAAGAGCAGCGCTACACTGTTTCTCCTTTCTTCCTCTTGTCAGTCTGGCACACACAGACTATCTGTCCCTTCCACTTCCATGATGATCTTTCCCCCAGTTGCTTACCCGGTAAGCAGCTCGTGTTTTATTGAATTCAAACAAACTGTGAGCCCACACCCGAGGCAGGAGGATTGCTATGGGTTGGAGGCCCAGCCTGGACTACACAGGAAGTTCCAAGCTAACCTGAGCTATAAGGGGCTTCTGAAAAACACAAAGCCAACCAACAAACAGAAATCCAGAGCGTTCCGCGCCATAAAGTGGTATCTATCGGCGGATAGTTGGATCAGAAGGAAGCAGAGTGATGCTGTTCTTCTCACAGCCCACACCTTCTAGACAGCCCGGCTCCCTCCCCCGGGTGTGCAGCCTGGTTCAGAGCCCAGGAGTTACCTATAATCAGAAACAAGGTGAGGGTTTCTGCGGAGGTGGGCCTCCACAGCCGCTTTGTCCGTCTTCAATATCTTCTTAAGCAGGTCGAAGCGCCTCACTCTGTAGAGCAGTTCAGCCAAGGTAGCCAAGGAGAGCTGGCCTCTCTCACTTAAGGTGCCCAGAAGCTCCCTGACATTAGCTGGAGCCAGGTTCTCAGCCACATCTCTACATAAGAAAAGCATCGTTTCCTTCTCCTCGTCGTCCAGGGACTCTTCCACCTGGTGGATGACCTCAGCAGACACGGGGTACAGGGCCATGTTCCAGAAATCAGCAGCCAGGGTCTCATCCAGCGTCTATCCACTTAGCAGGGCTCCGCGCACCCCGAGTCAGCAACTTCATTTTGGAGGCCTTTCTTCATTTCTTTCCCGGCTCTTGCAGGAGAGGCACGCTGCGGTGAAAGGACACTTTTAATCCTGCCGGATCCCTTCGCCTAAGAGCTGAAGTTCAGGCTCTCCCTTCCTTACTGGGTCTCTGTAAGCAAGGGGATCTGGTTCACCCCTTTAAGTCAGGAGAAAGAGAGCCTCAGCAGACAGAGTCAAAAACTGGGCGAAAAGCCGAAAGACACAGAAGAAAACCCAGAAATTCAAGAAAATGACATCAAAGGCAAAATTACCTCCAAAACTTCCCACATGGTTTCATCAGAATGAAAAGCAGGGTAGGGGAAATCACTAGCTAGGAAGCTAATGACTAAAGTTACCATGAGAGAGGTCAGGGGAAGAGAAAAGTCCGATGACTAAGCAGCTGATTTGAGGAGTTGCCACCCACGCCCACTCCTTAGCCCCTCCCATGTGTTCTCAACTAAAGCAGATTTTGGCAAAGGGGCGCCTCCCTGCAGGGTCCTCACCAAATGAGGTTTCTGTCCTTTCCTGCGTCCCTTGTCCCTCCTCAGTTGCTCTCCTACAGTTTCCCACACACCCGGCACTCACAGCTGAGGCTCGCCCGCAGCCTCGCCCACGGGACCCTCCAGAGGGGCTGGGCGAAGCGCTTCCTGAGTTTACACCAGGTCCTCGGACCTTGTGTCCCAGGAACGTGCCAGGTCTCCCGACCCTCGGTATACCTGCTCCCTGGCAGCAAAGACCACCAAAATTCTCAATGGCATCATGGGAGTGGACGGAAGACCTGGGGGGCCCACAGGTCTGAGTGCCCGGCTCAAGGCACGATTTCGTAACCATCGATTTCTTCCGTCAGAACCGAGCAGTTTTCAGATTTGGACTATAAATTTTTTGGTTTTGACTTTTAAAATACAATTGTTTGCTTGCTTGTTTGTCTATACAGGGGAGGGACTTGTGGGCATTCCACCTGCAACTGGAGGCCACAGGATAACTTTAAAGAGTCAGAGTTCTCTCCTATTATGTGGGTCCAGGGATCGAATTCAGACCATCCCCCTTGGCAGCAAGCACCTTTACCCACTGAGCCATCTTGCCAGCCCTTATACTGGAGACCTTGTCTCTGAGTAACAAAACAAAACAAAAAAGCCCTCTGAACTCAATGGAAAAAAAAAAAGAGAAACATCTAACTCTTAGACGATGATGGTTTCACCCATTTTGTATGATGATATTTAAGTATTCATCTAAGATTGGTGAGGCTATGCCAATCTCAATATCCATTTATCCGAACAACTTAAATAGGATTATTTATAAAGAAATAGAACTGACTAAAACCATCACCCTACATAGAAAAAGCTGTGCTCGGAAGACTTTTCTCAAAAAGTCTCAGTGACTAATTGTGTGAGTCTCAGATGTCAGAAGCCTGCAAGCCATCTCCTGGGAGGACAAAGCTTTAACCTAACTGCTACTTTCTGTAACAAGAAGGCCGAGGAAATTCTCTTTCTCCTCGGTTCACGAGAAATGTAATATTCTTATTGAATGCTATCCTAGGCTTAACCTCTAAAACGTTTGTGTCCAACAAGAAATAAGTAAGGGAAAAATAAAATACGAGACCATTAAACCTAAGAGCAAGAAAAGTTCAAACTGTCCAGACATACTTGAAAAAGGACTGAGCAAAACTAGCAAACAGAAACTGCTTAATCCTGCTTGCCAAGAAAGCCGCAAATGAAACGCCGCCACCAGAGTTAACACAGCAATATCTGTCCAGGTCATCTCCCACTATCAGGCCCATGGTGCCTTCTGCCGGTCACGATGCTCACAAGCCTCTGTGCTGACGGAGGCAGGGGACACGGGGTGAGGGGGACGGACACGGACGGGAGGAGGGGTGAGGTTGGAACGGGGGGGGGGCGGGGGAATGGGGGACACGACAATTTGGCAGCCAAATCCCAGTTACTCAGGGGCAACAGCTGCTAGGAACTATCAGGAGGAGAACACAGATTCCCAGACAGAGCCAGGCCACTAAGAAGCAGCAACCCTCCAAGCCTGGAAGCTGGGGCACAGCACAGGCAGTTCTTGTGGCTGCTGGGATTGGGCACTTGACAGAGAAAAGCACAGAAAGAAGAGGCTGAACTATAATCTAAATAATCACTATTTTATTGTTTTTTTTTTCTGTTAAGCCCAGGCCAAGAAATTAGCATAAGAAAATTCCCCAAGAAGTCAAGAAGGCCTTCAGCAGAAATGCAAAACGCCCCGCAGAAGGTCCCCTTCCTAAATGAGAGGATTTCTTTCTTTCTTTTTCTGCAAACAGGACCTTGCCATGTATAGGTCTTATCCTCCTACAGCTATGTGGCACAGGCTGGCCTGAAACTCACTATAAAAGCTGAGGCTAGCCTCAAACTCATGGCAATTCTCCTGACTCAGCCTCCAGAGTCCTGAGGTTATAGGGCTGCACCATTATCTCCAGCTGGAGAAGTAATTCTCTCTTGCTGAAGGCAAACTCATGTATCAGTTAGCATGAGCAAAATTACAATCAAATGTAGCACAAATAATAAAAACCCAGACTCAGATATTGGGGTTCAGCCTGAAGATCAGAAAAGCAAAGCAGCCAGCCACTAGAAAGACTTTTTTTTAATTTATTAGATTTTTTAAAAATACCAATCCAAGTTCCCACTCCCTCCCCTCCTCTCAATCCCTTCATACATCCTCCCACCCCCATCCAAACCTCAGAGAGGGTAAGGCACATTGCTTTGTGGAAGGTCCAAGGCCCTCCCTACTATATCTAGGCTGAGCAAGGTATACATCCAAAGAGAATAGGACCTTTTATGGCTACAAAATCTCCAGACCAAAGGGGGAGCTTCACTGAGTTCCTGTCTCTTCCCCTTTGTATTCCTCTCTTCACCCAGCCATATCGCTCCTGTCTCCACCTCCCTAGTGCTCGGATTAAAGGCATGGGATCACCTTTGTGTGAAGTCTGTTTCTCTTTTAGACAGATTCAATCTTGCATAGCCCAGGATGGCCTTGAAGCTGGCTTGCCTCCAGAGTCCTGGGATTAAAGATGTGTGCTACCACTCCCTGGTCTCTAGAGTCTTATCTTTGACCTCTGATCTTCAGGAAAGCTTTGTTTTGGTGCGGGGATCCTTCTGTCTATGTGTTGCTTTTATTGATTAATGAATAAAGAACTGCTTTGAGCCTATGGCAGGGAAGAACAGAAGTAGGTGGGGAAAGCTAGGCTGTATGCTGGGAGAAAGAGGGCAGAGTCAGAGAGAAGCCATGAAGCCACTGGAGAGAGATGCCAGTCAGAACTTTAGCCGGAAAGCCACAGCCATGTGGTGATACACAGATTAATAGAAATGGGTTAAATTAAGATGTAAGAGTTAGCCAATAAGAAGTTAGAGCTAATGGGCCAAGCAGTGATTTCATTAATATAGTTTCTGTGTGATTATTTCTGGTCTGAGCTAGCAGGGCAGCCAGGAACCAACAAGTGGTCTCTCTCTTCTAACATTATTTATTAAAACACAAATAATGTATCACTATATTTTCCACTTTTGTCTAAAATAAAAAGAAGGCTATAACTAATATAAGAAAAACTATATACAATAAGTGCAAGTATAAATAAAGGGCCCTTGTTCCTCTTGCAGAAGCCTGGGGGTTTGGCTCCCAGAACTCACAATGCAATTTACAGCCCTTCATAACTCCAGTTCCCAAGGAGTCTAGTGCCCTCTTCTGACTTCCTTGGACACTGCATGCATGCTGTGCACATACACAACCCTTTAACAATTAAAACCACCACAATAGACAAAGCAGAATGCAAATCCTCGGGGCCTGCACCTGAGAGTCTACATGAGTGTGCTCAGGGGGTTGCAGGAGATAAGGGTTTTTCTGCAGTTCTACAGGCCAGCTCCATAGCCTCATGCACAGCAAGCTTGCCCCCCAAAAGTCATTAGATGATATCTGCTTTGGGTCATCATCCCCCAGTAGTAGCTCTGGGATCCGCTGGACAGAGGCTAGGATGCTGTTAAACATCCAACAATCTCCCATCTCTGTGAGGTCAAGGATGATGCATCTCTCCCATACCACAGCACTGAGTCCAAGAAACCTCCTAAATTTTCAGTTCCCAAACTGACTGAGTCTTTCTGTGATGTACTAATGTCTCCTAACTTAAATGCTCCATGCCAGAGACTATCGCGTGAGGTAAATTGCCCTCCCTCCTCTGAGGCTCTGTATCTGTGTTGTTGCACACGTGTGATCCCAGTGCCAAGGACACAGAGGCAGCGGGATGGCTGGGCTCACTGGGCAGCCAAGTTCCAGGGTCATCCATATCTCAAATAAAACAAGGTGCTGGTTAATCTGAAAACAAAACAAAACTCTTGCTACAGTGTCCATAGAGATGCAGAATGAAGCACAGAAATAACCTCCTCAAATGCACAGCCGGTGTAAGAAATTAGGAGAAATTATAGCGGGTCCAAAAGAAAGCAGCTTAAAAACGATAGTACTAATCACTGTATATTATCACAACACACAGATAACCTGTAGGAATGACCCACACAAAAGCTATGCAAGACCTTAATGGAACAAAACATGCATTATTAAAAAGACATTACCGAAGACCCAGATAAGTGGAGAGCCATCCTTTATTCATGAGTAGGAAGATTCAGAGTAATAAAAATATTAGCTCCCGGGGCTGGCGAGATGGCTCAGAGGCTAAGAGCGCTGTCTGCCCTTTCAGAGGACCTGGGTTCTATTCCTGGCACCCACACGGTGGCTCACAACCAGCTGTCACTCCAGTTCCTTTGTATGTATGTAGACAGAGAGACCTTAGAACGAGGATGCCTAAAACCTTCCCGAAAGGACAGGGCAGACTTTACTGGTTCAGAGGACAGCATGGACTTTGAGGGTAGCTGTAGGAGTCTTTTTGTTTGTTTGTTTTATTTCTTTTGAAACAAGAGTCTCTTGTATCCCAGGATGTTTTTGAAGCTGCTGGGATTACAGGGTCAGGCCACTACACCTGGGATTTTGCTTGTTTTGGTGGTTCGTTTCTTTGTTTTTGAGACGGGGGTCTCAC